GTGTGTGTGAGTGATAAAGAGGTGCTCTTTAAAAAGTTATTTAGGAGCAGCCTCATGGTTAGAGCTGTCAACACGCACACAGTTTTCTGAGCTTCAGGACTCCGATGATTGACGGTTTGTCCTTCTGCTGTTGAATCTGCAGCAGTTTACCAGAGATAACCCTCGATACCGGTGCATCATGGGAAGTGTAGGACCCAGGGAGTTTTCTCACTCAGCAGCCCTGTTAGTAGCAACCCTGTGCAGTTTACGCTTCAGGAATAAGTGACGTCTGTTAGTGGAGACGACCTTGCAGAAATAAACCTATAAATATTGTAAAGTTTTGTTTCGCCATGCTAACGCCCTACAATGCAAAAAATCACCTCGCAGCGCTGCGTCAGTAACTATAGACGATGGATGACAGGGTTTCACCCTCCGTGTTCTCTTCCTGCAGATAATCAGTTCAGGATGTCCATTCTCGAGCGGCTGGAGCAGATGGAGCGCAGGATGGTGGAGATGGCCCGCGACAACCAACAGCAGCAACAACGGCAAAATCAACAGCAGCACGGCAGCCAGCTGGCCACGCCCCCTCCTCCTCCACCAGAGGACCACGAACAGGTGAGACTTCATACCAAACTTTCCTGAAAGCGCTCCTTACCTACGATAAGTCACGATTGTGTTGGATTTCTGTCTCCGTGTGTTCACTCCTCTCAAAGCATGTCAACAAATACTCTTTTAAGAAGAGATTAAAAAGTCAGTAAAGAGGTTTTGATCTGAGTGGGTGGACTGAGCTCTGAATCTTTGTTTACTCACATTCACCGAGAGTTAAGAGGTTCTTAATGAACTTCAGAGCAAAGCCATCCAATGCTTTACAGTTATTAATAATATCGGTGATCTGATGGTGGCGTAGAGAGGAGCACGATAATCATGGCGGGAAAAATTAAATGCACTTGTGACGTTGTGCAAAGCATTAGCAGATGACAATGATCCAATTCTGAGCACATTTTAAACAAAGAGAACCAAGATGAACACTTTAACACAGCTTCTTATGTTTGTTCCATGAACTGAGCTGACTGTAGGTCAGAGCGGACGCCGTGTTTATCATCGCTGAGCTCTTAGAAAGTGTTTAGCACCCAGCGTCTGCTATCACTGACGCAGGTGAGCAAACTGTCGAGGCTGACGGGGGGACATAGAGCTGCAGTGGGCGGTATCACAGCTGAGAGTGGTCTGGCTGGGAGAAATCATATAAGTGGGCCAAGGATAGAGCCCTGAGGAAGCCATGATTAAAATTAACAGCAGAGGAAATGGAGTGCATGTTAATGGATAACTCAGAGCGACAGTTTTTATTTATTTAGCACCAAATGACAACAGCAGTCACCTTTATAGTGTAAGATGTCTTTGTAAGAAAGCTGTAAAACTGAACTGTAGGTAACAATTCAGTCTTGTGACGCCGTCTGTT